TTTTTTTTTTGTGGGAGAGAAGTGAGTGAGATTCCGTGCTCAGGTTCGCAGGACGAGAGGTTCATTACCGTTGACGTTCATCTCCGGCACCATGACATCCTCCCCTTTCCTCTTTCCTCTCTTTATCTTCGTCTTCTCCCCATTCCTCACCGCCGCATCCATTCCTCTCCGACTAAACAACACCCAAATCCTGCAGGTACGCATCTCCCTTTCTCTCTCCTTCTCGTAATCCCATCACGTACCCATCCTCCTCCTCCTCCTCTTTTGATCTCAACTTCTTTGTTTTATCAGGACGTGTTGAAGGTTATTGCGTCGAGTCAGAAGTGGGATTTCGACCGACTTAACTTCTCCAAATTGCAAGTGAGCAAGGTTAGATTTGCGACCGGCAAGAGATTCGACTTCCGGATCCGATTTGGAAAAAGTTATTTTCTTTTGAAATTCCCCGACGAAGTAACTTCCTGGAACAAATTCAAGAAAGAAGGTGCTGATTTTGAGGATTTCATCCGGGAAGTTAGTTCAAAAGCAGGACTTGATTCGTTTAAAGTGGAGGGTCCGTTTGAGCTCCAGGTCGCCGGCGAAAATCAGGCCTCTCTACTGTTGCCGGTATGTTCCCATGATCTCTTCGTCCATGATAAGTGGCTTTGGCGTATTAAATTGTTCTGCAAAATACTGTTTTTTGAAGCTTACTTATAAATATTTGGTAATGGAAGCGCTTATGCTTTGAAAGAATAGTTTTTGTTGATGAAATGGCTTTTTATTATCATGCTTAGTCTTGTGCTGTTGACGTTTGTGGTTCTCTGTTGGTGTTGGATGGTATGGAAGGATGATGGAAAGCATGATTATCCATTGGAGGAGACTGGTAGTTGAAAACTTGATAGATATTATAGAGAGGGTATACAGTTCTGAAACTGCTTTTTTGGCCTTCTGGAAATAGTAAGAATTTGAAAGATTAGGTTAGTACAGTGTTGATTTTGCATTGGAAGCATGATTTATTTGGGCTCTAATGTATCTGATCTTGTAACTAAGATCAGTAGCCCTTCCGATGGACCATGAAACGGATTCTAGCTTGGGGTATGTATGCCCAGATTTTTTACTTCAAAGTTTTAAGATGGTTTTGTGAAAATATACCTATGAGCTGCCTTTGATTACTAATTGGATGACAACACTGGTTTACTACTTTTACTTGCTGGGTTATGAATTATGATATGATCATGATTCTTTTTCTTGCGTTGCTTGTTGCCATCTCTGATTGCACTAGTGGTCTTTGGTTCATCTTCATTCTTCCTAGCATTCAGGCAATTAGACTGGTACTAGATGTTCATTTAATTGAGTATGCATTTGACTACTTAGAGTAGTGAATCAAACATCTCACCTTTTTTGTGATTATCTTCTGTCAGGGGGAAGAATTAAGAAAGAAGTTCTGCTAATATGCTCATTACCAAGTTTTTTTCTTTTCTTTTCTTATTCTTTCTTTTTGCTAATCCATTTATGTTGTTTGTTCCATTTCCTGAATTCCCATTATTGAAAAGAGAAAACACCACTGAGCTACCTGGATTAATGGCAAAACAAGGCTCTACTCTACGTTTTATATATGCCAGTTCCTATCATCTTAGGGGCATTTAATCATCCTGCTTTTCAGGCTGGATTCAAATTTCTTGTAGCTCGTAATGGCTTAAGCTGCTTTAGAACCCTTGAAAGCTCTGAGAAGTTTGATAACTTTCATTTCTTGCAAATGACGGCCTTGCTTGTTTGTTTGTCTGCTATTCTTTATTTAATATAAATTTTTCTGTGTTTTACCTTATTCATGTGTTTTTTATTAATGCTGAGCTACATTTTAATTCTTGTTGCTCTTAACCTTTTGGTTTTGGTCTTCAGTTTAACACAACACATACTGGTCTAAAGCGGATCCATGTTGGTGAAGGCATCACTATTGAAGTAACTGGAGCTCGAGAAGTGTCATTTTTTCACACTTTCAAGTCCGGTTCATTTGTAAATGGAAGTTTCCTGAAGGAGAACGGTGGATTTTGGTCCTTTTGGCAGTCATTGTGCATGCCATTACCTCCAATACTCGTTTCAGGATCAATATCTCTTATTGCCTACAGGAGTCGAAATCCCAGTTCCCACATTGAAACTCTCTTCTTATCCAAGGATACCATCAAGTTGCTTCCAGAAAAGTGCTATAGCACTCATAACTACAGAAGACAAGCCTGCCCAATTGATGCCATAAGTTTGAGGATAGCCAAGCTGGAAAAGGCCTTGAGTAGGTTACATGGGAACACTTCACATAAAAAAGTAGCATTGGGTTCTATCAATGTAAAATGTAAAGCATCAATAACGGTTCGCTTCCACTTAGAACTGGAAAAGGATATTGGGAAGAATGAAACCCTACAAGAGACATTAGCTGAATGGAGGACGAGGCCGGCTGTTGAACAACTTTGGTTTGAAGTAATGGCTAGGGTCGAAGCAGAGAAGCTGAAGCCCATAATGGTTAAGAAGGTCAGACCTTTTGTTGGAGTAGATACAATCTCATGGAGTAATCTAATGTCAAATATTTCCTTTACGCAGTTCTCCTCAATTCTTGTTCCTCCTGAGGCTCTAACACTGGGTGTCAAATGGTAAGTAAAAATCATGAAAATGGTTTTGTTTTGAGCTAAATTTACTCATAAAGGCACTGCAATGTATAAAACATTTATTTCTCTTGCTCCTTTCATAAGGAGAACTATATGTATGATTCTGTAAATTTTGTAAAAAAAGAAGGGGGAAAAATGAATGGCAAAATTATTGTTTGAAGTAGCTCCTTTGCTGTTTGTCCCAAGAGAATCTTGATGTACTCGGACAGTTCCATTATTGCAGTGACGATAAATCCGGCGGATTTAAGTGTCACCGGAGAATTCTTCCGGTTGTCTCACCTCCGCCTTCTTTATTTATACCAAGAGGCACAGACCAAGAAGATAAAAAAATTCACCATGTTCATCCCTGATAACAGCCAATAGAAGTAGTTCAGCTTCTCTCTGTACAGATTGTTGCTAGCCAGCCAGCCAACAGTGACCCAGTTCACCACCTCCACCACCACTGAGCTCGTAAAGTACCCAAACGCCAACGAACAGTTTAAGCTGGCAGTGCCTATTGATTTCATTCCGGCAGAGCTCTGTGCATAGTAGAAATATAAAAGTCCTACGAGGGCGAACATATCAGACAATCCAAATATAGCGTACTGGAACCCAAGCCAGAACACACTCATGGGCAGCGGTTCTTTTGAGTCCACCACGTTATGTTGTACAGAAACAGACTTCCGTCGCGTTTCCACAACTCCGGCGACAGCCATGGAGATGGTGGATGGCACAATTTCAACCTCAATTCGTTGGAAATACCGGATTCCAGTGGGAATTCCTGTAATCCTCCGAGCAACCGGAACGAAAACATGATTATATAATGCAATGAAGATGACGTTGAAGATCTGGGGAATGACGGGGAGGGAGGGACCGGGGATCTTGAAACCAAGAATGTGACTGTCTAGTGTTAAGCTTTGCTGTACGGTAAATGTTACGAGATGAGCCATACAAGTAATTATGAAAACGGTGCAGAGAGCAATTTGAAACATTCGAAGCAAGATCTTTGTTTCCTCAACCTGCGTTACTTTACATAGCCTCTATGGACTGATTGACGTTGATGGTGACACACCGGATGGTCCTCGGAACCGCTGCTTGATCCAAGAATGTGCGTATTCAATTGGGTGAATCAGGGTATGTTTATTCATTTAAAAGCTGTTTGATGAAAAATGTATGTTCTTGCTCGCCTGAATTGATTGGTTCTCTGTAGAATTTCATTTTCCATCTCTTCTTCGTCATGAATTTCATATAGTTCATCTCCCATCTCAGGCACCGGAATGTCTCTGTTCCGGACCGCAGCTACAAACACCTGTAGTATACGAAGCAGGGGACTTCCCTTGGGAACATTATCCCGGTAAAACGACTTACCGGAGCGGATAAACAAGACCGCAACCAAAATTGCTAT